TAGATTCTCATCCCAAGATAAGTAATGGGAGACCATGCACCGTAGTCACCAGAGCTTCAGCCAAACTAAGCAAACAGGTGAATAGTATGACACCTATATCCACAGTAGGCCTTGAAACAAACAGGAAGGCCAATAAGAAACGTTCACGACGTCGCAAGACGACTACAACGTTCCCCAAGAAGGCAGACGATTGCAAGGTCTGCAATTCTATTGTCGAACAAGCAGATTCTGCTTTCGAATGTAACTTTTGTAAGCAATGGGTACATTGTAGATGTGACACCGGGGTACCAAAGGTATATTACGATTTTATGCGTAAGAACCCATGCCCATGGTTCTGGTACATTTGCCCAAGTTGCCGTCCTAATGCAGCCTCGTGTAGTTCCTCGAAAGCTACAGATGTCATAGAGATATCAGGAAAAAACGTGAAACGTTTTACTCCCACCAACTCAGAAAACAGCACAATTGCATGTAAATCGGGGATACCAAAATCCACACCGGTTATACTTGCAATTCCTGCCATAACCGCCCCAGACACAGAGGTTGAAGCACCAAGGGTACCTGTCGCCGGGAAAAGACCCTTACCGTCCACCAGTAAAAGTGGCCACAGCACTGCGACACATAATAATACCCAGTTGCACCAGATGAAACAAAACGGTCTTAAGGGGGATGACAAATGTGCGAGGACCGAACCTAAATCCACGGTCAGTCGATCAAACTGCGTTATCCTCTTTAATGTACCAGACTGTAGCAGTAGTCTGCTGGAAAACAGGGCCCTGTTTGATCAGGAACAGTGGTCCAACTTATGTAGCACACTGGGTCTGGACATCCAACCAGTAAAACTGTGCAGATTGTATAAGGGCACTGCTGCTCCTCAAGGCAAACCATCCCCACTGAGGGTAACACTAGGCTCTGCCGAAGATGCCGAAAAAGTTTTATTGACTTCCCAAGTCCTTTCTATAGGGAGGACCTGCAATATACGTGTTAGGCCAGATAGGCCATGGAAGGAAAGACAGATGGCGAGGGAGTCGCCAGAGCTTATTCCTTCTGCCTCCATGGTTGTTCACGGCATTCCTGAACTGGAAACTGGGAACGCTTGTGAGAAGCACTGTCACGATGTCCAGCAATGGAGATGGTTGGCATCCCAGATGGGTCTGGGAAGTTCAGGGGCTGTCTCTATTTTTAGACTGCCTCGACCCACTCACCTAATGTCAATTAACACCCCACATCTGTTAGCTGTTAAGTTTAGCTCCCGAGACCACTTGACTACTGCTCTCCAGAGATGGTACGAGACCAAAGACAAGGTCAGCAGACACATTCGCTGCTGCGAGAGCCGGCCTCGTACCCAAAGGAGAGAGCAAAACGTTGTCATAGAACATCCCCAACCCCTAGTCACAATACAGCGGTGCAGCACGGACGATGATAGCCAGTGCCATCCAAGTGCTCCGATTGAATCAGAAGAAAAAAACTCCAACAGGCCGGTTCCCGGGGAATCGGCCAACTAGTTCGTAGGATAACTCCTCAACCGACAGCCCACATCACGTCAACCACCCCCCAATACGGGGACGTGGTGAGACTGACTACCAGTTGCCTGTACAGTAATGTGAGAGGTCTAAGAGGCAAAATAGCTGAACTTAGATACCTACAATCACAGCTGAACTCCAAAATCATAATACTGACGGAAACCTGGCTAACCCCTACGGTGGCAGACAGCGAAGTCAGTATAAATGATATGGTCCTTGTCAGGCGAGATAGGGATCTGAAAGAAGGAGGTGGAGTCGCCATATACGTCGACAAACAGCTCAGATGTGTCCATGCAATCGACCCTCCCCTCATTGAGCTCCCTGACTCCATATGGTGCCATTTCACCGTTGGGTACTGTAAGTATCTAGTGGGCAGCATTTACAGATCACCTTCATGTGGAGCAGACCACAACCAGGTACTGCTGAATGCAATTTCAGCGACACATGACCTGGGTTATGATCAAATTGTCATAGCTGGAGACTTCAATGCCCCATCTCTTAACTTGATGACGGGATGTGCCCAGGACAGATTTGATCGAAATCTGCTGCATACCATCACGGAGGCCGGATTCACCGAAAATGTCAGAATGGATACTAGATGGGGCCCAGATGGGAAGTCTTCTAGACTGGATTACGTGCTCACTAGTGACCAGCTACTAGTGGAAAACGTTCAGATCACGACTCCCATAGGTAGTAGTGACCATGCGGTCATAACATTCGACATAGTCCTCCGCGAGCGTTTACAGTGGGACAATACACAGCCCTATCTGTGTTATAACAAAGCCAATTACACCGAAATGCGAAGACTTTTGTCTGAAGCAAATTGGCCAAAAAATTGGACAGAGCTTACAGTAGAAGAACACTGGAGAGTGGTAAAGGAGATCATTCACCAGGCGATCTCAGACACTGTTCCTTTGGTCACACCTAAAGCTAGAAAGCAACGTTCATGGCTAAAAAGGGGGACACAACGCCTTCTACAGGCGAAGCGAAAAGCCTGGTTTGCGTGGCGAGTATCGCAGAGTCAACCCGAACATGAAGAGTACCTCGAACTCAGGAATCGGTGTAACATACGAGTCCGGAGTGATAGAAGGACATTTCAGAGAAACCTCGCCAATAAGCTTCTCGTGAACCCCAAAAGCCTATACAGGTTTATGTCTGAAAGAAAACCGACCAACCAGGGAGCTTGCAATATAGTGGGTTCTGATGGGAAATCTCTTACTAGTCTTGAAATGGCAGAGACATTCAGTCTAGCCTTTCACAGGCAACTGAACAGTAACGAGGATTTTACCCCCACGAAACATCAAGATTACAATGCAAGACCAACGTGCGAAAACCTGCTGGGTACATTTCAAATTACCCCGGCTATGGTACTCATAAAATTGGGAAAGTTGGCTTCGGGAAAGTCTGCAGGTTGCGACGACATAAGACCATCCGTCCTGAAGCAGTGTTCAGAAAGTCTCTGCCAACCCCTAAGTGATCTGTTTCAACACTCCTTTGATGTAGGGAAACTTCCATGTGAATGGAAACGAGCCATCCTATCCCCTATCTTCAAGGGTGGTGACCGGCAGAACGCGACCAGTTACAGACCAGTTGCGCTACTCCCAGTGATATCGAAGATATTCGAAAGTCTCATTGACGACCACATGAGAAAATACTTCGACGGGACTAACCTACTCCATGAAGCACAGCATGGTTTCAGGAAGGGAAGATCCTGTGTGACGAATCTTCTACTAGCTTGGAACGATTGGACACTATCCTGGGATGTAAAGGTACCAGTCCATGTGATCTTTCTCGACTTTGCGAAAGCATTCGACACAGTTCACCATGGTCTGCTCCTTCACAAAATAAGCAAAGCGGGTGTTTCTGGAGCACTTCTCGCATGGCTGGAAGATTATTTAGGCGAGAGAGAATTCTGCACCAAAGTCAACCGCATCCGATCATCCTGGCACACCTCGGTATCAGGGGTTCCTCAGGGTTCTATCTTAGGGCCGTTGATGTTTTTGATTTTTATCAATGACCTGCCCTGTCAACTGAATTGCTCTGCGCTTCTTTACGCTGACGACGTAAAGATTTGGAGAGCAATAAACTCATCGGAAGACTCCGACAGATTGCAGGCTGACCTGCAAACGCTGGGGGACTGGGCTCTGGCTAACGGAATGCCTTTCAACTTAAAGAAGTGCAAAGTAGTGCAACTTCATTCCGGCAGGTCACAGAGTGCAAATTACACCCTTGGTGGCCAGAACTTGAGTTGTGTGCCATCAGAACGCGATCTAGGCCTTATTTTAACAGAAAAGCTAGACACCAGTGTAAATTACACGAGGGACGTCGCCAAAGCTTACGGCACTTTACACTTTATGCATAGGCAACTGGGAGCTCTTACTCCTGAACTATTCCTAACGTTGTATACGACATACGTGAGGCCACTCCTTGAGGTGCATAATATCATTGCTCCTCCGCTACTCAAAAGGGATGCTAACATGCTAGAAAGTGTCCAGAGACGAGCGACAAAATGGGTGATCGGCCTCCGCAACAAATCATATGAGGAGAGACTGAAGAAATTAAGTCTTTTCACACTTAGTTACCGTAGTCACAGGGGAGACCTCATCACCGTCTATAAGATCCTAAATGACCAGGCCCATCCTAACAAGAGCATCCTGCCATTAAGTGATTATAGGCTTCCACGAGGTAACCCGCTAAGGATAGCACACCAGAGACCAAGGACTCGAGTGCGTTCACATTTCTTCTCGCTTCGAGTTTGCCGTCTCTGGAACGCTTTACCGGCGGCCGTAACTACAGCTCCATCTGTGGAGATTTTTAAGCGGAAGCTAGACAATCATGCAGAAATGCATGGTTTGTGTCTCAATGGCTTACCCTCTTAAAATTTGAAACCACATTGTCAATGGATAAGCATACAAGCTAAATCTTCACGACCCGTCCTGTATTCTCCCACTGTACCGACTACTCTATCTTTCTTTCTTTATTATTTCACTTATCTCAACCTATATTATCTACACTACAACCCATTATTATCATTATCATTATTATTATTATTACTCTACTTTTATGACTATACCGAATGACCGACGGGTGTTAGGTCAAACTCCATTCACGGCAGCAGCTGAGTCCTAACATACTGCACACTACAAACCACAATCTTGACCAATCCTCGCATCACTCCTCCTGGAGTCTACCAGAGCTAAAGCAGTCGAGTGGCGGGATTTACTACGCATAAGTTCACCGAAGATCTGGAACCTCTACCTTAAAATCAAGAAGCGAGCTCAAAGAAATCACTGGTTTATACTAGCTCGTAATCAGGATATTGGATATTGGATATTGGAATTCAATGGTTGCGTTACATAATTTGACGACGACTTTTATTATTTTCATCTTGACACTTATTAGTATAGACTTACTACCATGTAGCAAGACTACAGAGCATATCTACAGTTATATTCCTTCATTTCTTACATCGTTTTGCACACGGAAGTTAAATCTGACTTCACAGGTTGGATGTTCTAGTGATATCGGGGGAAATTCTGGAGTTGTGTATTTCATGAATGAATCATCTGATATTTCCAATATCATTAATTCTGACACAAAGACATCTTTTATAATTGTCTTGGACATTAATCAGTTTGTAAACTCTACCTTGATGCTGTATTTGCGTTCAATACAAAACATAAACGGACTTGTTGTTTTTTCCAACAATGACGACAACTTTGAAAATTATGCTTTCTCAGAATCCACAAAATGCCCAAATAGCCAGTATAGTGCATACCCATGGGATAAGCAATGCAATATTGGTTCAGACTGGAACCCAGCGGGATCAGGATATTCAGACATTGATTGGCCTTTCCCTGTCGTTTATGTCGCTGATGTCAATAGCACTATTAAGGTATTTAAAGATTCACTTATCAGCTTTTTAGAATGCAATTCATGAATGTTACTCCAAATTTAACCTAGCACCTTCCGATGATACAAGGTGCTCAATTGAAATAAGTAATCCTATGTCAGCCGTGGGATCATCTGAAACTTGCTTTCGCCGTCAGTATCTTATGTCGCTTCACATTTCAGAGGTATGCAATTTTTTTCTCAGTGTAATGAAAGTTGATGCCTGCTGAAACTAACCAATCTGAAAAAATTACGAACCTTCTAAACTGAACTATGAAGTTAGCTTGTGTACGTTGTGAGTGCATACAGACTTGTCGTTCCTTGTTTAAAAGTGGATACTTTAATGAGTACTGGTTGTTGCCCTGAGCAAGGTATCAACAATATATTTAGTATACTCGTTACTAACCTAAATATCAAACATTGTTTGATTAAGGAGCAGCTACCAGTCTTCCGAAAATAGCTAACAAATAATGGTAGTGCTTGCATAACTTCAAAAAGCGAGAACAGAAATTAAGTCTCCACTGAATCCTTTCAGCATATAAGTTCTTAATCTATTCAACCACATCACAATCTTTCCATGCGCTAATTAAATATACGTCGTTTTCAAACTTTAGACTTGTCAGAAGTTCGGATTTTTGTTCAGGGCGTTCAGTACTATCATTAAGTAGAATTATATACATACGGGAAACCAGCCAGCTCTCATTCTGGTAGCATGTCAATTCCAATCAAAAACCAAGTTTACCATTGCACTTATGATAAATTGAAGTAAGAAATGTCTCATTGAGTATTATTTCCAAGCTATTTCACGACTGTTTCTAGAAGAATACTTCCTCCCACTCCCTTAACACCCATAAATTGATACTACGACCAATAGAGTTGATTTTCATTTTCTGATCAAGAAATTTGGAACATGCTGAAGACCTGTATGTCTTTTCTCCAAAACGACCAATGCATCCCCGTCTGAATGTGAAACTGGCTAGACTCATATGAGTTTATTTCTCCAAGAATTTACTTCGTCTTCATAGGACTGCAAACTTTAAAATACTAAACAATAAATTATTTTAGTTGACTCACCTTTGGTTACCACAAATTTTTGATTTACGTTCATCAACTCGACTGATCTACGATATATGCTAGTTTGATGTAAATGTCAAGGATTTCCATACACCTACCTCAGATCTTCTAGTCGTCATTTCCTTATTACATAACATTTATAGGGTCAAATCACATCCTGTTCCTCTGCTCATTTTAAATCAAGAAGCTATTGTAACCGCTTCTGGAGTCAGAAAATTAATGCTTATGTCAAACTTAGGCTGCATTTGGTTCGTTGGTTACTGCAATTGAGTCATCCGTTTTAGAGCTGCTTCTCGAAGTGTTCTGCCCAGTGGTCTGGCAGCCTTTCTCAGAGATTTAGTAAAACTTCATGTTTCTTGGAGATTACTTCTGCTACTGTAACTTACTTAAGTCCCGTCTCTTTAAAAAGGGGAGGTGAAGGGTCTTAATTTGTGGTATTGCCTTCTCTACTTCCTTCACCTCCGTTACCTACCGTTTTGCACGAAGTTTACGAAGACTTTCACATTCTAACACCCGATTATTTTTTACCTCTAATCACCTTCGAAATAAGACACCTGGCGCCAATCAGTTCAAATGGGACTGCGAAAATCTACTGTCTCTTGCCAACTTTCGACTGAGTCTACATGGTGACAAGTTTCTACACGATTATTACTTTTGTCAGTGCTTAGGTAAATGCTTATCTAACTTTTTCTAAATGCAAATCTCGGGTTTTTATTAATAAGCCATCCCTGTATTTTGACATGAATATTCTGGTATTTTCTATTTGGTTATTGGGTTGTTAAATAGTGCATTTTAAACTAAGTGACCTACAGGAATTTATTGAATCAGTATTGTTTAGCATGTAATAATTTTTTGACCCAGTATAGCGACATATTTGACGTGTTTTTTAAAAAATGTATTACAGGCTACCGAGATTTTCTGTGATGAGCTTACGGGACTTAACATTATTCTTGCAGCGACTAATTCTACCAACTACTTGAACCATACTGGGATGAATCTCGATACTAGAAGTCGGCGTGAAAATTCCACTCTTTTTGTACTGTCTCGAATGGACTCTCGCAGCATGTTTGAACGCAGTGGATTCTCAAATCAAGGTGTTCTCCCAAGTATAGCTGTCTTAATTTCAGTAGCTGCGCATCTGACGGGACAGAACCTAAAAGTTAGTACTCTCGATTTACTAACAGTTTTCATTGATTTGTTTTTGTGTCTGATGTAGTAAAACACGGAAAAAGGAACTAATTCATGTTAATTTATGCATTGCTGTATTTATCTTTCTATGTACACTGACTTGTGTCTTAAAGCTTGTATTTCGCAGCGAATGAAACGTAACACTGATGGCCCTATCTTAGCAAACAAACTCCGGGAATTTCTCAGAGCAAAATCAATCTTGCTCAACAACCACTTGTAATTCCATACGGTTGGCAATGAGCCGCACCTGTTGTGTAAGGGTTGGTTATACTGTTCGGGGCTTTCCAGACTTCGGTACGTGGAGCGGGCATCGAACTCTTGACCCACTTTGTCATATAAGCTATTTTCACTCGTTCAGTATGTATTTACATTTTAAGTCGAAACCGAATTCATATGAATGTACCTGCATTTATTTATTTTTATTTATTGGAAACTGATTGCTTTCGCGTTGTGCAACTTTAGTTTCAGTCTTCACATGCTTACCACTATAATTACTTACAGTAAACTATGATCTTTTAATGCTTTTATTTCTGGCTTAGTGAGGTAAAGGAGTGCGTCGGCCGGGGATCGAACCCCGGACCATGTGCATGGTCGGCGACCGTCCTAACCGCTATGCCACCGACGCACACAGTAAACTGTGTTGTACGGTTATTTATTTTCATTATTTGAACGTTAAAATTCCGCATTCATTAATCTGTTCTTAGGTAATAACCTTACAAGTGTATTACCGTAGTTACTGAAGTTTACTTAATTGGCAAATCAGGTATAATTGTCCTTTACCAACCCAATTGTATTGTACAGTTGACATAAGTAGTTGTCGTCACCACACAACGGACTAATTTTTTTTAAATTTAAAGTTGTTGATCCAAATAAATAATATTAAATTGTCAACTAAATATATACCGCTCATTGTCAATTTATGTTAACTTTTCATTGAAAAGGATTCAGACTTGGAAAAAGATTTATTCTTTGGATTTCTTGACAATGAAGCATATGATTTTATGGGATCATACAGACTTTCATATGATTTGATTGCCGGAAATATTGCTCGTTATTCTGACAGTCCTGTAATGTGGAACAGTCTTTATGGTATCATAGAGTTGGGCGAAATTGGACTGTCTCAATATCATAACGGTGCTCCTACAATTTACATGTTGACGGATGCTGAAACTTGCAACCAGGTAGGTTTTTTATTTTTGTCTACTGTCTGTCTGTAGTATTGTAATTGTTCATAGTTCCGTGTTATGTTTAGCAGTGCATTAATCCTCACTAATACTTTTTGTTTTGCTAACTTTTAGTCCAGGAATATGTAGAAAATACAAACTAGAGGACAATATCACTAATTAAGTTAGAATATGATAAACAGCTAAATCCCCTACCTGAGATATGAAAGGCAAATGAATCTAATGGTTTTCAGTGTGGATGGGGAATATATCTTGATTACCTGATGTATTAACAATTTACTCGTTTTACAATTTGATCGATATATTTACCAAGGTTTTAGGCAGTGCTTCTCATCAAATGTTTTGGATAAGTTTGCGGAATAAGAACTCAAAAATGGAGTATTTTATATTGAAACTAAGATGACTAGTATTTCCATTTGTAAGACAGGCTATTCGACTACCTTGTATTTTACTAGTAAATAAGTGTTTCATATTGCCTAATGTAGAAGTAAAATTTGAGGTTTATGGTAGAATTTCATATTAGATAAGTTTATTTGATATAACACAGTGATACAGTATTGATAATTGTATGACGTTCCGAGCACAACATTTTACTCATAATTATATCAGTGTATTTATACGGCTTCCTGACTTGCTTTATATGGCGGGTTCAAGCACAACGTTGCACTAACACTGAGGCATCGAAAAACTTCAAGGAAGAACTTATTGAAGCTACAAATGTTACCTCTAAAAAGTTTTAAGAACTACAAAAGCATAGTAATCGCCAAATCAGACAAGGTTGATTCAACAGTAGTTATGGATAAATCAGAATTTATTAAGATCAATCAATATACTCAAAGGAGTTCGTATGAGAAAATTAAGAAACCTGTGGACATAGTTATAAATATGATTAGAAAACCTACAGCCGATCTAATACCCAGACGAAGTCATCTCTCACTGAGTCGAAATGGTCTATCTTAAAGCTTAAAACTAATATTACTAGTGTAATATTTGGTACTGTCAAGGTCCATGAGGTGGGGTAGAGCCGTTAGACCAATAGTTGTTTTTATAAATATTTGACATAGAATACAATCAGAAACCACTCAAATTCTATACTAAGTAGTCTTTATCAAATGAAACACATTTGAGGACATTCTAATGGAAAAGGATGAAAAAATCGCCAGTTTCGATGTGGCAAAGTTATACGCAGACATTAAAATAAATCTTGAACTCACACACAGAATTAATTTACCACTTGATAAAGTAATACTGGTTATTCAATTATGCCTGATTTCCATAGTCTTTAAATTTCAAGATAAAGTATACAAACAGACAAATAGGATAGCAATTAGATCATCAATATTCCCCAGTAGTAGCAAGGTATAATTGTGGATAGTTGGCAACATAATGCTGTTGCGTTGTTTAATATCATTCCTAAGGTATGATGGAGATACATGGACTGGATTGTAAAATTGAACGAAAACTACATGAGGTTTTAGATACTCGTCCTTATAGAAAAGTCCATCACATTCTAATAGATACTTAAACTATAGATCATTCCGCTCCAAATCAGTGAAGGTGAGTTTAGTCAAATGTTCACACGACCAAACCAGGAGTGTGATGAGTCCGAACATCCAAGTTAAGAAATCAAAAAGGTAAGGAAACATTACTTTTGTTTAACTATCCATACCAATTACCTCAAAGGTATATCAAGACCAATAGGAAAAATAGAAGTAGTAACGCAAATAGTAGAAATAATGTGGACAGTACTACGGTATAAGGAAGGAACATCAGAGGCCCTAGCCCTAGGTAGGATTCTTAATAAGGTTGGAATTAGAGTGGCATTTAAACCAACCAACTCTCTTGGAGATAAACTTTACCGGCTTAAGTAACCAATAGATCTAATTGAGAAAAATAATATAATTTACCAAACAACATGTAATGACTGTGACGTCACTGACATTAGTTAAACCAATAGATTTGAGTGATGTAGATGATTGGGACATAGAAGTTTAGTTAGAGCTGGCATGATTTGTCCTGATAAGTTAATTAATATAGGAAAATAAACTGGCTCATTGCAGTGCGTTCAATTGCATGTAGGCATACAATAGGGTGGGAAAATGTAAAAGTATTAAAAAGTAATTTAGTCAGGTGGAGAGAAAGGCTAATCACCGAATCTTTATTCATCGAATCAACACCAAACACGTGCAGTCGGAGCGACGCAGCATTTATCCCTCAAATAAAATTATAATGAAAAACGCGAGAGACTAAGGTTGCATAGAGGAAGTTAGGAGGTCTTGTTAATACACTGATATGATTATTAGTTATAAGTTGTGCCTGAAACGTCATTTAGTTATGAATACTTGTTGGCCTCCATATTTAATTATCAAATTAAATTATTGAGGTATCGAAAATTTACCGTGGTGAGTATAGTGTTATGAGAATGTTCATAGTATTAAGAGGTCACTCTTCATGTGTTTACCGTTTTCAATTTGCTAACGCGTAGTGTGGAAAATTGTTTGTGGTTATTACGATATGTATTTGAATTTACAAATGGTAGTCCAGTGCATTTTAACAGAAGTATTTAAAAACAATTAAGTAGGGTTTGGGTTTTTATGTAAGCCATCTGTCTCAAACCTGGTCACATGACCAGTGTACTGTATATTGGAAATCAATTAGTTAGCAATATTCGTATATAATCTTGCATATTGTAGTAGAAATGTCAACAGAAATTAGGGTAGCACTTTTCATTCTTAACCATTTGCGAATTATTGATCATTTTCAAGTGGAATAATTGTTAAGTGATTTAGAGAAGTAAGCAGTATACAGAGAGTGATTTGAATGTTATTTTTCTATTTAGACTGTTTTATAGTTAAAATATAGCAACTTGTCAGTGTTAAACGGTATAATCTCTCAAACTACTCCGTTTAACATTTAGACGCAAAACGTTACAAATTTTCTGCTAAATCATCTGACTGCTGCAAGTGCGACAGGTGGGAAGGTTAACCTAGAGCGACCTTCAGATATGTTACAGGAGCTACCTCTACCACCTACAGCGTCAATGCAAGCCCTTCTCAAAACTTCTCCATATCCACTCCCCCATGTTCTCTTGAGTGATCATGCTGGTCCACCGATTTTGAATAAACATTTCGAAAGCTTTCTGGACACATCATGGCCTCCAATGGATAATCCTGCTGCCGACTCAACTCTTCTGGATTTGGCCAACACCTTAGCAGATGCTTTACATAGAGTAAGTTTGTAGGTGGTTTTCTGACATTTCTATTTCATTAAACACTTTAGAATTCGTCAGATTTTTTATAGGATTTAAGCTAATAGTGGTTAACGTCTACAAAACGCACACAAAGCTTATAAAAATGCGTGATATATTGCCTAAATCGAAACCCATATTTCAAATATCTGCGAAACTTCATTGTAACATTGGAATACTGTGTCAAAGTTTCAGATATTTTCGATATCAGTGGGTGAAATAGAAGCGAAACTCGCTAAATTTATTTACACTAAACAAGAGACTATGTTTATTAGAGGTTACTGAATAAACTGGGTAATAATGCATTTGTAAAAGATATTTGTAAAATCTCAGCGAGATTGAAATGAGTAATTCCAACGTTTCGTTCGGCAATCTGGTCCGAACTTCTTTAGGAAAATTAATCGAAATTAACATAACAGAGGTTTATATATAAAAGGAACCACTTGTTTTTAAAAAATTTGTCCAATCATGAGTCATTCAACAAGTATAATAAACAAAATTTTATGAGCTGTGATCAAAATTTGACCCAGGACTTACAAATATTGGCCTACCTTTGTTAAACACTTTAAACAGAGTGTGTATATGTGTGTGGGTAAACAGTTGTAAAACATTTCTTAACGTCTTCATAAGAAGATAAGGACAGTCGAGAATTTTGACCAAGTATTAATAATTGGTGATACATATCCATTTTGATCACAGCTCATAAAATTTTGTTTATTATACTTGTTGAATGACTTATGATTGGACAAAGTTTTTAAAAACAAGTGATGTTCCTTTTATATATAAACCTCTGTTATGTTAATTTCGATTAATTTTCCTGAAGAAGTTCGAACCAGATTGTCGAACGAAACGCTGGAATTACTCATTTCAATCTCGCTGAGACTTTACAAATATAATCTAATATAATATAATATATATACTTCTCACTTGGCGCCCAAATATTTTAGAACTATTCTGTCAAACCTTGACGACAGTTAATTTCGAGTAATAATGCGTTACGATAATTGAAAATGTCCCATTCAGAACACTTAGAAAACAACAAACTGAGTGAATAAACATAATCCCTTCAAATCAATTCCTCGGTAATGATTCTAAATTAATAGACATGCTTTTAGACAATGCATCAAAATTATACCATTCGAATGGTGGTATGTTAGTTAGCAAGTGAATTCATGACGGTATGAACCACTGACCGTTATGACTAGCCGGGAACCATCCATGTCAATCAGTGGTGCTTGCTTGTGTTCTAAACACATTTGGTTTGCTATCTTGGTTGCCACTTATGATATCAAGCAACTAAGATTTTGTGATCTGAATATTTTCAGTTTCCAACAGAAACCATGGTGAATTTTCACCTTGGACTGCATAATTCCCAAATATCAAGTTTTATTCTAGTAAGTGTATCTTTTCTCGAATTGGATTGCAGTAGTGAGTCTGCATTAATAAGAAAATGGGAATTCAGAAAGTCAGTTTGTTTCAAAAATGAATAATATAGTCGGTTCAGATTACTCCCTAAACGAACTCAGACACGGTAATAATGAAAGTCCAGTAAATCGTCGTCAAATGGAGAAAAATGATCAAGAGAATTAGGGTAGTGCATTGAATCATTATATGTACTTGTACAATGTATTAGAAGACAGATAAACACATATGACCCATTGACTCACGTAGACACTGACTGTTTGATCGTATAGATCATTCACAATTCACAGTAAGAGATTAATCCCATGGTATGGAAGGGAGTCAGCTCTGAAAAACATGCGTTGAAGGTGGTGTAGATCTGCTCCCTGGAGAGAGACTTTTCGACCTCGAGTTTGCAGACGATATCGTCTTACTGTGCAACAGCATGCAGGCTGTCCAAATCGCACTTACTCAGTTGGCGATCAGTGTCTGTAAGTATTACATGTGCTTTGCACCGTCTAAATGCAAAGTATTGTTACAAGATTGGTAGGAGCCTGTACCTGCACTTACTCTTGCAGGTGAACTGCTTGGAGTTGGCGATAAGTTTGTATATCTGGGTAGTTGTGTGAGTGGTGGCGGAGAGGTGACGGATGAGATTTCCAGCCGTAATATGAAAGCTAGGGTGGCATACGTTAATTTGAGCCACCTCTGGCGCCGTCGCAACGTTAGCCTGGATATCGGAGGTTGGGTATACAATGCTTCAGCTGTCTTGCTCTACTCCTGTAAAACCTGGTCTCTCCGAGCTGATGTGCGGCGACTCCGCTATTTTACCATCGCTGTCTCCCCAGGATCGCTTGCGTTTGATGGCATCGTCGCGTAATTCTGAGGTCTGGCGGCGTGTGTTTGGACACAATGGAGATCACCATTCTTTGAGTGTTGTCATCTGGAAACATCGGTTCCGGTGGCTTAGAAATGTGCTGCGTATGTCATCCCAGAGGCTTCCGTACAGGTGTCTGTTCGCTAGCCTTTGGATGGGATGGAAATATCGGAGAGGTGGTCAGCCCATGATGTGGGATGAAGGATATTCGTGTTAGGTTACCGTCCGTTGATGCGTCATGACTCCCTAGTTGGATTCCGAGGGATGGCTCGAATTGGTGGCTCGAAACGTTATCGGATATGGCCAAGAATCGTAATCAATGCCGAACGTGCTGTAATTTCCTTCCTTCATCCCTTCACGACGATAGTTGACGAGTGCTGTTTGAACTTGTTAAATATGACTGTTTTCCTTCAAGATGAAGTAATTTATCCGTTCTCTACCTAAATTTTTACTGTCAATTTATGTTGCTTTATTATTATTTTATGGCTCATCTTTTTGGTGCCATAGTGTGACAAGTTTTTTGTTTAAATAAATAATCATTAATAATATGGGAGGGATGAAAAATAATTATGTCTGCAGTTAAAGGATGAAATGATCTAATCTAATCATAGTTAATTTGTAGAAGTATCTAACTCAACTGACAGTTTGTTGAGTCAATGAAATTGTCAATTACATAGGAATACTTTAGAAAGAAGGAGTTAGGTAAGCTAGTATTAATGGTAGTGTAATGTTAATTAGTATTAGATTTTGAATGGTTAAATGTACGGAAGTGCCTTAAGACACTTAACTTCAATTAATTGTTATTTAAATTTACAAATAACTCATTTACTTGCTTTTGCTTTAGGGACATCAACAAAATGAGGTCACTTTGAATAAAACGTGAATAGAAGCTGTACAGTTCTAAAGTGGTGCACATATAAAGCACAATTCGTTTTCTTATTTGAAAGCCATCTTCGTCTAATCAATTTGTTTATCATTCACTAGTTATTTAGATCCAAATGAGGTATTAGTTTGTCTTTGAATAATACCAGGACATTTTGGTTAAAGAGAAACTCAGCAAAAGTCACAACTACTTACACGTAATCACTAAAAGGCAGTCCATCCGCGTCAGAGGACAGACTTCCCACACTAAATGTATGTCCAGCGCGTCCCTCATTTTGAATACAACAAAGCTGGGTTAAAGGAGTTTCTTAACTTTGCTTGCAATGAAAGTTCAAATAAAAAGTTGTCCCACAAAGCATAATATTCTCATAGATGCATCCAATATTACTTAGCGATCGAATTCCTTAAAAAAAAGTTTGAGGTAAGAATGCTTTGATAATTACCGTCCACCTGTATGCTACTTGACTGCTTCACGGTTCGTGCATCAGATTAAAAAAAAAACAGGAAAAAAACGAAATATTCGGGGAGACATTTTTCGTTGCAACAATTAGCTGTGTTAACAGTAAAGTTTAGGAGGCTTATTGCCGGAGTATGTTGTCATACTCCGTGTTTACACCCTAGTAAAGTGTTGTGATGCTGCTTTTTAAGCACATCTGAATGCATATCATTATCCTTGATTGAGTTTTTTATATAAGCTATATGCCTTCATATAAATTGTGCCACTAGTAACATTTTTGAAGGGAAATATTTTTATGACACCAGTTATATTTGTTCTTCTAAGAGATGTACATTCACTTGCATTTGCGCGTAACTTACTAAAATGCAAAAGTAGGTTGATATGAATTTTTCCAGGATAGTCGAAATGACTGAGGAGTCAAAACTACCTTAAATATGAACTGTATACTTTCATTGGACACTAGTTAGTAACTAGTGTAATGCGTGTGTCTAGTCCTTTGTTTGGTGCAGACTGAATTCTATAAGTCAAGTTTGCAATGTTGCCACCATTTTAGTTGACTCGCCATCACGGTACATTTCGAACTGTTGATATGAGACAGTTGGAGGCAGTCAGCAGAAAGCCTTGGACATACTAGTTTCATACTAGTTGGCACTCATCACCAAGGCGTATCTGCAACCTCGAATTCAGTCTGCACCAAACAAAGGACTAGACACATTACACTAGTTACTAGCAAGTGTCCAATCAAATTATCAAATAGACTCTTATAGAAAGCCAATCGCAACGTGACAACGTTACTGCCTGCAGCACTGAGTGGCGCGGGTTCAAATCGCAGAAGGGACATGAGTCCCTTCAAGGTTGCAGATACGCCTTGCTGACTGGTGAGTGCCAACTAGGACGAAACCTAGGCCCAAGGCTTCCTGTCAATTGCTTCCAACCATCTAATATGAACTGTATACACAATCATTGTGAATAAATTAATCCCCTTTAGAGTTAAGTCGTTTTAGGGCTTTTTTAAAGCGAATAAAGCTAAAATAAGGTAGAAGTTATCTTTAACATTTCTTTAAAAGTTATTTATGTTAACTCTTATTTAACTGTTTAGAGTATTTGTTTCATATATCCTCAAGCTAATGTTATAAATTATCTCTAGTCTTTGAACACTAGAGTCCTTCCTTTCCATCACACCCACAGTCATCTAACGTAGTACCATTTCTCAATGCACTCTTCTGTAAATTTGAACAATTGCAACTTAAATTTATGCGTTGCTGGCTTTTCCGTCTCTCAGATCAAACTGTAACCTTTTATTAGTTTGACTTGACACATTTGAGAACAATACTTTATTTATATGTAATTAAAACATATTATTCTTCCTTTTCTTTAGATTATTACTGCAAATCATACACCTATGCCTTCCAGCATAACTTATCCGAAGCCTAGTGACATTATGTATTGTTTTACGAAAAACCCGCAGTGTGATCTCTTCAAAAAGGTAATATTGTTTGGGAGAAATATTTGATGCTTCCTTTTTGTTCTTCCTTCATAAAATTAACATTGCCTATATTTATGATGAAAGCATGCATTTACAAGAATTAAAACTTACGTGAAATCGTACGGTAATTAGACTACCCTTAAATTGATTTTTATCTATTCAACTTATTTGGTCCTTTATTTCTTTCTAAATGAAAGCTTAGTAAGGTTGGTTTTGATGCACTTTATGTATTGGTACGTCCTACAGTCTTATCAATTCTGACATGAGCTAATATTTCTCATAATAGAAACTACACCCCCCAACCGTTTGGCGCTTTAGTTATTACAAAAATCAATAATGTACAAAGTACATATGAAAAACTGTTTAAAAAGCATGCATTGTATAACTTCAAAGTAAAAGCTTAGCATAATGACAGAACAGTTGATTGTCCACTCGAAAGTGTAATTATATTTCCTCTTCTCGCATGTGAACTAACTACATAACTGTTTTCAAGAGACTGTTGGTTCATTTCAATATGTTAATATAATAACAGTTTACACAAGCAATTTGAAAAATATATCCAAATTAGGGATGGATATTAGAAGAGAAACAGAGTTCACACATTCTGTAATAATAAAATCAGCAGAGTTTAACACCAACATCTTTATTTCACTAGAATTTATCGTAGCATATACTGGTAGATTAAAATTGCAAGTAAGCAGTAGAGCGAATGCAAAGAATAAGATCAGAAAGTGTTTTAAAAAACAATACATGAATAAGAAATAACAATGCTCATCGATTTTTAAACTTCCCAGACCGGACTGTGCATTATATAGTCTACTGCTATCTACTATCAAATAAGTAGCATTAAGAAGTTAGCCTCAAGCTGTGTCACTGAAGCATGTTTAAGCCGAGTCGATATGTTATCAGAGAACAAGTATATCAGTTCAGTAAGAATTAACCAACAGGAGTTAAAAAAATCAGTGAATAAAGAATCTGCTTAAAGTTAAGAGCATATGGATTAGGTTTTCTATTCACCCCATTACATTTCGCGTAACAAAATTTATTTTATTTTTTTATTTTGATTTACAGCTTGATTCCACACCGTATTTTCAGTACAAGTATGGAATTTTCAGCATGGATATCGGTTGCCCAAATTCAGGCATACCATAGATATCGGGTGTGCGCCGGCAGGGGATCGAACCCCGGACCATGTGCATGGTCGGCGAGAGTCCTAACCACTGTGCCACCGACGCACAGAAAGCGAAAAGATTGAGCGAAGATATTTACTTTTTAATTAGATGCTCATCTCTGGCTTTACTCTAATGTATAGAGAAGTTTTATTATAATACACAACAATTTACCAATCAAGTAGTGATTTGTTGTTAAAAAATAATTAGTCAGCATCAACATGTCAAGGGGAGGGGGGATAATTAACGAAAATTAATACACGCAATTAAAGGGTAGAAATAGTTACAAGTGGATTGCATAATGCATAACTTAGGAAAAATGAAGAGTAATTAAGGCATAAGTGAGAACTCAAGTTGATTACGTAACAGGTCATTAAAGAAAAGAAAACGATTTGGAGAATGGTAACTTGTAATTAAAGATGAACTAGTTAGAAAAATAAAAAAATAATTTGGACAATTATAATTTTTAGAGGTTTACGGGGAGGGTGGGCGAAGCAGTCCGGTTTATACATCCATGTAACGATGGCCAAGGTAAGGAAGGAAGAGATCAGAAGTTTTTAAGCCTTGCATTGGATTTATGATTTATGAACGTGCTTTTGTTTATGATTTCAGTACCTTAGTCCTGAAGATTTCCAGTTCTTAAAAATGTTAAGAACACCAGTATCTGCACAAAGCTACCTACCCCTCGGTCGACATGAAATAAAGGTATCACATTTGGTCAGTATCTTGTTAATGGGCCTAACTGGTAAGCGAACTTCAAGTCCTACTTGTCCACCTCCTGAAGAAAGAGGTCCTTTTACATACTGGATGGGATGTAAGTTCTCAACTTTTTCCAGCCATCGTACACTTGGTGAATGTAAAACCCTCTGCAAATAGTCCGTAAACAGGACATATCAATAGTACTTTTAGTTTAATCTGTAAGGTTATACTCACTGAAATATTTGCACTCACTGCATTTGTCGGAAAACATATTTAAAGCATGATACAAACCCTCACTAGTCATTTATTGACTCAGTTTTTCGTTACGCATTTGTCGAATAGAAATGTCATAGTGACTGCTTATAAATATTTCATTAACGTCACTTATTGATCTCTGACATGACTTGTTTGCAGTTAGTAGTCGAAGTTACGTCATACCTAAGTTTGATAATCATAAGCCGGGTGTATCAGTAGTGAATGACGCAATCGCATTCAGAACTATGGAATTGTTAAAATGGATTTAGTTTTTATGGGGAAAAGGACGTTCAGAGTCAGCTGTCCATCATTTCAAATTTAAATAAGCTAATAAAATCTAATCCCCAAATACTTTTCGATCTTCATGAATTCTAGGTATATCCTCAGGTATTATAATTAAACAGTAGTTAAATATTTTATTCTTTTTCGTGTTTTGTAGACAACATTGCTACTCCCTTATTTGACTTTCCTTGGATATTAGTGGTGTGTGAGTAAGTAACACCAATTGTCCGTCTGAGGTTTATCGACAAACATCTAAACCATGCTTTCAAAAGCAGCTTTCCACCAAATGCTATATTTTTGTTACTTGGAAAATTGTTTATTACTGAAATTTTATTTCCCCTTCCAGATTTCCGAGAGTCAAAGCCTCCAATACTTGCTATATTCAAAAGTTAACATTTATAATTATCTACGTAAATATGCAAAGAGTAAAAAGGACAATGATTTACAAATCCTATTTGGATTGTTTCGATCACGTTAGTATAGGCTGAATAGAAATATCGTGAAATAACTGCCCAGAGAAATCACTCCTAGCACACCGTCTAGGGAATGTTGCCAACTCAAACTACTAAGCGTAATCCCAGATATCTGCAGATAACAATATCAGATGGTGAATTTGAACTAAGACCACTTGTTGAATGAAATCCCCACTTTCATTTGTCGGACATATGGTCTGGCCTGTAATAACTTTTCTGAAGGTATTCTTTGAAATATAAAACCCGAATAACCGAAGGCCAATGCGGTGAATTCTGAACAACAGGTTGTCGAATATGATGATATAAGGGATTAACAGATTTTACGTATGAACGAAGAAATTTACAATAATACTGTTACTAAAGACGATAAAAATAAGCAAATCTAGCCGAAACCAAGGCTGGTCACTGTATTTAGGAATTGACAGAATCCAAAAGCATTAGGTAGTCAAATCAAAATATGGAGCCAATTTGTGTTGTCACTGTCAGCTGTTGCCATATAGAAAATTGTAGCTCCCCTGGTCTCTCAGGGTACTAAGAATCAGTAGAAAAAGACGCCTAGTAACAGTCAAAATTGTTGGCAGTGGAGGTGTATTCGTTCTCTATAATTATTTGAAAATGCATGTTTGCATCACTCTTCCTTACGTCATTCTCTCTATATATACACTTGTACGTTACATTTTTCTAGCCTCCTATTTTGTATGCTTCTCTAAAACGTAATAGCCTAAATTGAACATATCTGCATAGAGGTTCTAAGGTGGCTGTCACCAGTTTGCGTGATAAATTACTTCCTAATACCTTGAGACTTCTGTTTTAAAGTCATTTATGTACAAGGCCTCCGTCTTAAGGTATATTAACTGTTGATTTCTCAAGCAGATCAACAAATAAACAGTGATTAGCACGAAATATCTGAAACATTCTGTAATTTTCTGTATGAAAACAGATATTCTCATACTAATATTAGTTACTTTTGCATTGATGGTACCAATTCGTTATCAAATGTACTTTTATTTTGCTTCCTGATTTAACGAAAACAGATTTTAATGGTTCTGAACAATGTTACTTCGCGCAAGTGGACATGATGTCTCGCTTTCTGTTATCGGATGGTGAGAAGTTGGCGAAACCAGCTTGGATGCGCAGTCGTGAACATTCTGGCAAATTCATTCGTTGGTTTCGACGGGCATCTCCACAAGTTGATGGATTTGGAGTTGCACTGGGTATTTTCCTTATAACGCTAACATCGCTTATGGGCTCTTACGTCAGAAAGACGATGAATAGAGCTCTAATACACCCAATTATACAAGCTGAACTCCCACATCTTTCAAGAAATAAAAACTGTGTTTGTGCATAAAATCCCCGTAATATATTTGCTGATTTTGTACATAAATTTTGAATTATCAAACGAACTTCACTTTTTTTGAAGCATGCAAAGCACTTCTTTCTTCAGCTGCTTTCCGAGCCTTTTCGACAAGACCGACCAATTGACCATTTTCTCCTAATAACTTAAGCAGCTCAACTATCAAAGGTAGATAGTTGTGTCGGCGACGAAGATTTTCTGCACGCTGAGCTGAAATTTTCTTCTTTTCATTAGCAATATTATTTTTTAAATCTGTTATGTATGCTGACGGTGGCTATAATAGAAATGTAACAGTTTAATAGGTATTATTTCGTATAAAAATACTTTGCGATACCTTGCGTTCTCATTCTCCATAAATTTAAAGGCATGGCAATCACATTAAACAGCTATATTCTCTTACTTTTGAAATCTCTAGTGGAGTTCACCAACGACCGTATACGAAGCCGAACCCATAAGTTTCGCGTTTAAAGAAAGTAAAAATGTATTCGGATACCACAACACGAATATTCCCATCCAATGCACTAATGTCTGACAAGGTGAAAATGGGGAGGGTCTTAAGTGAAATAGGCATAGTCCCTGTTTTTTTAATTACAGTAACCCTCTCCCTACACTTGTGCCGAATATCCTATTGTACATTCAGGTTGCGAGTAACCACATTTCCCTTAAATTCGCAGTCAACAGTCTGACCCAAAAACGTTTTGTGGAGATATTAGTGAATCCTGACTCATGAAGAACTTCATGGGAGTCTCTGGGGTCATTTGCGTAGTGACCTAATTCCTCCGGACAATCGCACTCTGGGCTTTTCTTGAGTAATAATTTAGCAGCCAGTCACAACTTAACTGTATCGACTTGGATACCTAAGTCGCAGTGCGATTAACTTGTATAAATGATAATTCTGTAGTGTAATACTGTACTGTGTAATAATTCCACAGTCAACAATACTGTTCGGAATTAAATAATTATTACTACCGAGTACTACGTCGTGATATGACGTTTGAGGGACAAACAAGTCACTGGAGATTACTTCACATAGAACCTTTAGACAACTAGTCGTCAGCTCTTAGACAGCTTCGAATTGAATGCACTAAACAACATGTTCCCTTAGTCCTCAACGATCAAGTGTCGTTTTCACATTGTGTTGAAAGTCGGTATTTCTGTGAACCAAGAGGTATCCGATTGTACGTTTGTTAAAATACATCTAGGTCTAAACCCTATTTGGCTTTCTAGGAGTTAACTTACCGCTATTTGCAGTAGTTGGAAAATCTCTGATCTTCATGTTACATGACAGACCAATTTGTACAGAATTAGAGGTTTATTAAATTACGATTGCAGGGAGTCAGCTGTCTCATCTGTTTCTACAACACCGGTCGTCCATCCCCAACTGAAGTTACGAAAGCTATCTCTAATCTGAAATGAGTTAAAGCAGCGGGACTTAATGGAATTAATCCATAGGTGTTTTAGGACGGCAGAGACAATTGACCGCCTGGGTTAACCAAAGTATTGCACAACACCTGGGAATCAGAGTCCCGTTGGGTTGGTGTGACTGATTATTTAAGCATACAGGAAGGGAGGTAAGTGTTCCTCTGATAATCACAAGGGGATTAGCTTCACTAATATCGTATTCAAAATTCTAGACCATGCGTAGATTAAGTGTTACTCGAGTGGAACAAACACGAGGAAATCAGACAAACTTTAAAACAAATTCTGGCATGTAAGCATAATTACCGGCGGCCAACAATTGCCATATATCTTGGTCAGACAGTGGTATTCGGTCCCGCCGACCGAGAGGTACTATGGCAGTGTTTGGTCGTGAAGGAAATGCCCAGAAAATACATTGCGCTGATCGAGGCACTCTACTCAGACCCATGCAGCCAGTCAAGAGACTCCGGAGAGTTTTCATCGGAAGTGGTATCCATCAGGGATGCCCACTGCTCTTTTCCTGATATATTCCACCATAGATGCACAAATAAGCTTGCCCCTGACTTTAGCGACTCTGGAATCGACTTGTTACCAGGGTATAATCTCGCTGACTTAGAATATGCGGAAGATACAGTCATGCTAGGTGAGGACGCTGAAAAAATTGCAGTCTTCTGAACACCTTGAGTAGCAATTTTCCGATGTTTGGCATGTGATTAGCTCCTGTCAAATGTGAGATGCTGCAACAGAGCCGGACTACATCGACTCCTAGCTTAAAGATAGAAAGTGAAGTAGTAGAGCGTGTTGACCACTTTACCTATTTGGGAAGTTGCATCAGCCAGTGCCAACGGGTTGGTCGCTGACGAAATCTCAGCACGTATACAGATGGCTTGTTCGGCATTACCCAACTTATTCTATCTCAGACGTAGACGTGACTATCTGGCTGTCGACCAAAAGACGTGTGTACTGCTCAGCAGTGAGGGAGACATGACCATTGAAATTAGAAGACATGAAAAAGGCGAATTGCCTTTGATTATAGGTTCCTGCGTTCTATCTTGCGTGTGAGGCAGTATAATAGGGTGAGCAATATTGAGGTTAGGCGTCAAGTGCCAGTTAAAGAGGGTAATCAATAAAGGAGGCTGTGAAGTTACATCGACTGAGATATTTAGGACATGTGTTGCACATGCCTAGCCTAGCCATCGCCTTCCTCGACAGCCAATGTTAGCTGATATAGGATGGATGAAGTTGAAAAACAGCTAGTGGTGGTCACACCAAAACATGGCATCAGTCAATGAAATCCATAAGTTAGTTTAAGCCACGTGGGACGGTGTAGATTTCTAGACTGATTGGGGTCCTCGGAATGATAAGAACTAATGGATTCAGACTATTGGGGATATAGCTTAAAATCGTTCTCAATAACTGGCGCAGATGTATTCACTCTTTGTGGTTTGTCTTATCCAGTTAAACTCTATTGACTTTATGTTACCATGTTTTTATTCTATTCTCTTTGTGTGCTACATGAAGAATGACAACTCAAACTGCTGCACATCTGTGCAAAGCTCTAAGTTGAATCCAATCAGTCACAACACATTAAATACGATGCCAGGTAGTCTCCAAAAATACGCACTTTAATGGAACGGTGGTTTGAGAAAAGATTTTAATCTTGAGTAACATTATATGAATAATAACAGGTGAGATGAAAATTTGGGCGGTGAAAGGATTCAAATTATTGCTATCGAATTACCAGCTTAGCTACATTTTTTCCAAATTGCCTATATTTAGTTGATTAAATCCTCTTATGTCTCATGCTATCACAAAATCCAGCAGGACACTAGTATTCAGTTGTTTTCTTAATCTTTGAGATATAAACCAACAAGAAAAACTGGTTAACTTACGTCGTTTGGTTCTCCTTTAACTTGAGCCAACTGACTCTCGTACATTGCTAAACGATTTGGGACAACTGCCATTATATTGAACTTCCCATCGACGCACTTTTCCATGCGTTTCATCAACAGTGGGCGTAGTGTGTCAATCCATGATGAGTTTTCAGGAACTTTCCCATGATCTATGGGACCAGGTTTAAGTCCATCTAGTTCATATAAAGTGCCATTTATTGGGAGGTAACCAACAAAATGATAAACGTCTTCACT